TCAGTCAACCGGCGCCCGGGTGCAAGCTCAATACCATCATTTTCCTGTAGGGTCTTCCTGAGAACCGAGTGAATGGCGTAGTTAAAGAGGATGGGCGACAGGACACAGTCTTGTCGAACTCCCGACCGAATAGCGAAGGGGTCTGAGAGGTTGTGTGGACTAGAACCCGCGCAGTGGTACAGCGGTAGTGTGCCTTGATAATAGCGATTATTTTGGTTGGTACACCATCTGATACAATTATCCGCCACAGGGAGTCACGATGGACGAAGTCCTCACAATAGCCATTGTCTCGTACCTTGGAAGTACCAAATGAATATTAGTTATAAGTGACCGAACAGACGGAACCTAGAGCGTTGTGAGGATTGCAGTGCAGAGGAGGCCTGTGTGCCTACTGTCCACGGATTAATATGTCTCCGCAAGTTTATATTTTATTCAGTCATCATTTCCACAACAGACGTAAAATAGGAGAATACATTAGGAGAGGCCAGTCTGTCTACTATGAATCTTGAATCAGGATGGTCAACTGGTGCTTGTTGGTTTGATTCCAGGCCTAGGTTGTGCAATGTTCTAATTTATAATTTAACTGTTTTCTTTTTAATTTCTGGGCTTGATATTTTAGCTTTTTTTCTCAAAACACTACTTCCACTGTGCATCAGCAAAAAAAAACTTCGATGTTTTAAATCGTATAAATGAATTTGCGGGCGTCAGAAATAACTTCTTGAATATTTTCGTAGTTTAACAGACATCTACTGCTATCGACTCATAAGTTAACCGGAAGCTTCAACAAATTCTTAATTCCGCACTGCGTTCTACTCTAGTTCGCGTGTGCTAACCAGCAGCCCCACCACTCGCAGCGCTGACGGCGATCATTTATGCTCCAATCTGATTGGTTAAGCTTGTCTAGGTTAACGAAATGCGGCTGACGGCTAACGCCTTTAATCTATTGGTTGTCTTGATTCCCCCAGGTGCGTGTGTTCGACCCGGACAGCCCCGAGGTGAACGGAGTGGTGCGATGCGCGGAACCGCGCGACGTGGAACGCCGTCAGGCCTTGACCTTTGTGCCGGACCTTCTCACGAATCCCTCCGCGGGAGTGTATGACCTACGGACACGTGTGGTGCTGGACAGAGAGGGTCCCCAGGTCGAGGACGGCAAGGAGTTTATCCGCCTCATCTGCTGGGATGGAAATCAGCAATCGGAGGCCGCCCGACAGTATGGCCGCAGTCCTAGCTTCACCGCAACCATGACCGCAACACTCACAATTCGAGATATAAATGACAATGCACCCATCTTCTCTCGATCGATTTATCATATTGAGACTCCTGAGAACAACTTGCTGGGAGCAAAGATATTTCAGGTAGATGCATGCTTTGCAGGAGCTTAAACCTCTCTCCTCTTTGACCCACTCTTCGCCCATACCAAAGCCCCATAATCCATCGCAGCCCGTCAGCGTGGGACCCCAGATTCAAATCTTAGGCAGTAAACGAGGTTATTGACGGAATCTTCTTATCAAATTCATGTACTAGTTATCAATATAAACCGCAGACACTATCAAATCCATATATAAACCGCGTTATAATCAGTTATCTTCGGGGAGAACGTGTGTATTAATACTCGCTGATGAACGTTCACCCGACCGATAGTGGGACTCATTTGTTCCACTCTGCCTTAGGCCTCGACAGAGGCCCTGACGACCACAGCAGCTGGCAGTATAGGCAGAAAATATTGCCAGCACT